AAGGACAAATAGTGCTTGCACTGCTTCATCAAGAATAGCATCCTTATTGTTGCTTGGAGGAAAAATGATAGACTTTTGGTTTAAAATCCCATTGACAGTTGATGATGTCTCAAAATGTGTTATAAGAAAAGGAACTCAGCTTGCAAGGTTAGTACAAGATGTAAAACTAATAATTTAGGATGAAGCACCATTGGTACATCAACACTATTTTGAGACATTAGATAAGTCATTAAGGGATATTATAGTAGATATCGATCTTGAAACCCCTTTAAACCCTTTACTAAAAAAACTATTATGCTTAGAGGTGACGTCAAACAAGTGTTACCTATTGTAAAAAGTGACAATAAAGCAGACATTGTAAATGCTAGCATTAACAAATCAAATTTTTGACACAAATGCAAAATGTTTTAGTTAAGAGTTAATATGAGATTGGTAAGGGGATTAACGATAGAAAGTGAAAAGAAAGAAATAGAAATCTTTGCTTAATGATTGCTTGACATAAGTAATAGATAGCAAAGTTTTCAACATAGGCTAATGAAAATAAAGATAAAATAGAAATTCCAAAAGCACTTCTGGTGACTTATAATGATGACCCAATTCATGTAATTTTTTCAGTCATTTATGACAACTTCATCACCAATTATGCTAATGATGTTTATCTTAAATAAAAGGGCAATCATTACGCTATAAAATGAAACTATTGACTTTATCAACCATTATGTTTTGTCTTTTATTCTAGGAGAACTAAAAAATATCTTAGCTTTGATTCAATCTCTCCTAAAACTAGTAATACATCAGACCAAGATATCTTTCACTCACCAAAATTTCTAAATTCATTGACATTTCTTGGAATTGCAAATCATGAACTAATTTAGAAAAAAGGTTGTGTAACATACTATTACAAAACATTAATCAAAGCCTTGGTTTGTGCAATAGAACTAGGCTTATTGTTACACACCTAGCTAAAAATATTATTGAAGGTAGAATCATTATTGAGAATTATATTGGTGACAAAGTATTCATTTCAAGAATTGTTATGACAATCAAAGATCAAAAGTGGTCATTTGTTTTAAAGCGAAATTAGTTTCCGATTAGGCTATCATATGCAATGATAATAAACAAAAGCCAAGGACAAACACTAGATTTTGTTGGTTTGTATTTACCTAAACCAATTTTTAGTCATGGCTAACTTTATGTTGCTCTATCAAGAGTTAGATCTTATAAATGGCTTAAAATTTTAATAGAAAATGGGAATGAATTAAATAGGAAAGTAACTAAAAATGTTGTCTTTCATGAAATCTTTGAAGATTTGATCTCAGGTATAAATTAATAATACTTGTTACATACATAGTTATAAATATTCTTATACACCTTTAATAATTATTATTGTTTTTATCTCATATTGCTTTTTTTTTTTTTATGAGTTTACTTTGTGTTATTTGCTACCTTTATAATATTCAACTAACTAACATTTATTCCTTCAAGTCAAGTAATTGAAACTTCATTAAAAAATTAGGTCAAGGAATTCATCATCCAAAACTATGGTTTGTATATAAACCAAAACTAATTCTGCCTTAAAAAAGAATTAGTAATGCAAAACCTTATAGAACATTCCATATACTGAATTCCTTTAAATTATTTTTTATAAGAAAGATTACCACCAATAATGTTTTACTATTTTGCAATATCAATTTTAGTTTTTCAACAAAAATGGCACATTCATGATATTAAATCTCAACAGCAGAAGTCAAAAGTGTATAGTTAAGGTCAAGATACTCTGTTTTTGGAGTTCAGTCAATCCTCAAGCAAACAACTCTATGATAAGCTATGATTTTCTAACCATTGACAAAGAGGTAAACTTTTAAAAACTAATGTGTTTACCAATTTAAAACAACCTTTAATCTTTTACACATTAATAAATTTATAAATATACTAACATTCATTGCATAAAATGATACTTTGAAAATCAGAATAATGCTATTCAGGGAATTATCAAACCAACTAAGATGGCAACATATGAAAATATCTTAAAAGAAAATGAGGTTTTTTTTTTTTTTTTATTTTCAGCTTCTTTGTAAATGAAAGAAAAAAGCTATATAATGTTGCTCCAAACCCATATACCATTAATTTTGTTTGAACAATAAAGGTAATCAAGTCAAGCAAGCTACTTGACAGCTTTCTTCCTTATCACTACAACTTTTTCAAAATTGAAAAGCTGAAAATAAGATAAAAAATAAAATACTATCAAGTAATTTATTTATTTTTGAATAAGTTGTATCATTTTTATCAACACAACAAAAAGTTTTACATTTCAATATTAATTTCTTATTTGCCTCACAAATGTCATTTGAATAATGGTTAGCATTAGGAAAATAACAGCCACCTATGTTGGAGAAAACTTTGAAGCAATAAAAAAAAAATCTTGAAATTGAAATATCAGAGTTTGTTCCCTAAAAAATTTGAACATATAAACTGTCACAAATGGATGTAAATTTACATATGAATATTTTTTGTAGGAATGATATCATAAGTGTTACACTTTGGGGAGACTTTGCACACTAGCCAAAGGAGGAACAATTCTTGGAAGATTAAAAAAATTCAATCATTATATTTGTTGTAATGATTGCAACAAAATATATAAGTTAGTATATCTTAACTCTTTCATACAATTTAAAGAAAAATTTATATGTTTTGTTTTGCTTTTTTTTTCTAAGTTCTAATTGGTAAATAGACTTTTAGAAAACTAAAACAGCTTCCATATGAAAAAAAAAAAGGAAGTTGTCAATAGCTACATGTTCTACTTCAAGAATCATTGTTAAGCCTTACATTCTTGAAGCCTAACATTCTTGAAGCTGATGATTTCAAAAGAGAGTAAGTTAGAAAAAAAAAAAAAACTATCCCATAATTACATATACAAATTCCTATTATGAAAAAGTTTCAAATTCATTTTTTTTAGGTGTTATGGTCAAAACAATAAGATCCAACTCTTGGAATTGAACATTGTACCTAGACTTTCACCAAATGAGGAGAAAAAAAATAAAATAAAATGACATTTGAAGAATTACTTAAAATTGAACCAGAGAAAGCAATGATAACCTTTTAAAATTTCTTTATCTATTTTTACAAATTATTTTCAATAACTTTTTTTGATACAAAATATAAATTTTATAATTCTAGAGCATTAAGTTTACCTGTTTAGTAAGAATTATTGAAATCGATGCTTTCTAAGGATGGTTCTACAACTCTTGCACTAAATGCAATAAGACAATATAACCATGTGATAGAAAATTTTGGCGCTCTAAACACAATGAAAAAGTACCCAATCCTAGGTTTTATCATTTCATAAAACAAAATTTTTTTCTTAAATATATATTTCCTTTACAACCATTACAACCATTTATTTTACAAATGCAAACTACCAATAATATTAAAGGATCATTCCAAAATTATGCAATTCATTTTTTTTGGAAAATCTTGAAAAGAGATTGGTGAAAGAACCAATGATGACTTTTCTCACATTAGCATAAGAAAACCTTACAGTGCTCTTAAGTCCTTTGAAAAAACTCAAAAATCAAAAAAGAGTTTTTTAAGTTTTATTGTCAAAGCAAGTCTTAGAGAAAAGTGAAATACATTTCATAGTTCATACCATATGTAAGCCTGATGGTGATGAAGAAAAACCTCTCTTGTTGATGTTAGAAGCACCTTAGATCAAAAGAAAAAGAAAAAAGAAAAAGGTTGATGACAACTGACCGGAATCACTTATATAGTTATCCATCCCAGCAGATATATTCCCTGAAGAATCACTAGCTAAAAAATCAAGAACAAGGTACACACTATTTAAAAGAATAATTAAATTAAAAACATATAAATAACAATTCATGACAAAAAAATCTAATTGATATGATACACTTTTCCCCTTTATTATAATAGGAAAAGGAAAAACCCAATGTTCAAATAGCACTTGGATCACAGGTAAAAAACAAATAAGGTTATTATTCAAAAGATACTTAAGATTCCATGTGATCAACAATTATTACCATTCATTTATATTATATCTATTAATCAATTGACTCTTTATATGCAAAAATATTTGCTCATAGATATGATGAAGTAAGAATTGAATTTGAACGCTTCATTTAATTTTAAACAATACATTTGTAGCTATTTTTATTACATGTCCTTGGTTGCTTTACATAGAAACTTTTAGGCATCTAAATCAAAGACCTCTTTACATATCAAGTATTATTAAGAAGATTTATACTTAAACTTTTACTTATTAGTTTTATATATTTAGATAACATAGCTTTTGTTATAATTTATAAATCACATTTAATTGTTACATTAAAAGCTTTTTTTACTATTCTTTAAAATTTATTTAAAAGTAAAAAAAAAAAAAATCAAAACTCGTAGCAACGTGCCAGATGGAGTCTTGTAATTTTATTAATTTAATATAATAAAAATATTATTTAATATGCTATTATTGTTACTTTTATTAATTTAATTATTTTATTAACAAAATTATTATTTGCCTAAGAATAATTTAATAAAATTTAAATTATTTATTAATTTTATGAATTTTAAATAATTTAAATTTATATTACATATAATTTTAATCTAATATCTTTAATAATCATTTCTCTTTTTATCACAATTCATCTCACTATCATCATTATATTTGCATATAAACATTTATCTTATCACTTATTTTAATCTTTATGCTACAATAATTAATTTTATCTTTATCACTATTTTTAATATCACCAAAATTAATTTTATCATCAATGCAAATTGACTCTAAATTTGATATCTCATAATCATTAAGAACAACTAAAATAAATACTCAAATAAATAAAACGGTATAAATAGACAGATAGCATTTTCTTTCTTCCACTTATTGTTCAATATTTAAACTAGTAAACAAACTTTATTTTACTTTAAACTGCAAAGGGCGACCCGCTATCTGGTAATATATAAAGTGGTCCGGGTAAGGACAATTATCGAGATGCAATTGGAATCCGACACAATTTTTGTTACCCGAATCCACAGTAAACGGACCAAAGCGGGTAAAGGCTTAAAGCAAACCACAACAAAGATGAAGACATTATTTGGTCCTAAAGCCAAAAATGGGAGTCTTGTTGCTGGGCAACTCTTGCTCGTGTGCCCTGGTACTCCAACTCTCTTCATCACTTGTGCTTCCATTCTTATTTCGTTTCACATTCAACATAGTGGAATTAATTTTAATTTTAATTTTTATTTTGGTGGCAGTGGACATGGAAGAAACGTTCCTCGTTTTCTATGAATTTCAATGCAAATAACTCCAACCGGATGGTAGTCAAAGCTCTTTTCTTAGATCCCAATCAAGTCCCCATCCTCAAACAAGCTGTTAAGGTCTACTAAACTTTCTTTGTCGTTTTTAAATTACTAAGAATTATTTGTTTACAACTCTTTCGTGTGGTGGGTTCTTGTCCTTTTTCGGTGTTTGAAGATTGACCTGGTTCTGGATTAATCTGATTGCCTTCTTTTTAGTCATTGGAGTGACATTGTTTATGGATTTTGAGTTTTTGTCTCTTAAAGCAGCACCAACCCAGTTTACTGTTCTCGTCTCCTCAATTTTATTTCGAGTTGGATAATGAATTGCCTATGGGAAGATATCCTAGCATGTCAAGGTTTTAGAGCAAGTACCCATAGTTTTTAGAGCAAGTATGTTAGAGCTAAAACTGAAACCAGGGGAAAAGAATAACCAAAGGAAGGTGACATACTTAGGTGTTGGCAATTTTAAATGGCAGAAAAGATGAATGAACCAGTCCTGGTAATTGCCAACCATTTTTAATAGGGAGGAATATTAGTTTTTTACTCTATTTTTACAACCTGCCATTCCACTCATTGTAGGACATTGATATCTTGACTCCGGGAATACTTCTTGCTCCTTAACTTGGTGTTCTATTGTAATATTTATTACTTTTCATAGCAAATTAGTTCTGTCATGAGCATGTAGATGACAGGTTATGGAAGTGTTTGATTTGGATGACGATAGTCTAGGGTATTCTGCTGGCATGCTCTGATTCAAAGCATTGCTTGCCCATACTGTTCAAAACTGTTGTTTGTCAAATGTAAATGGTATTTGCCCTGAGTTTATTTGTTTACTCCTCTGTTTTATTTTATTTCCCTGAATTATTAGTTTCTCTCCCTGTTAAAATCAGGTTGCTAAAAAAGAAAAACTTATTACAAGAGGAAAGTCTAATCACATAATTTCATTGAATTTGGAAAATGCCATTATTTGAATTTTTTATTGCATTGTGTCCCTTCTTTTTTTTGGTTAACAATATTGTTGTTGAATTAGCAACAAATTTAAATGTAATTTTTTTTGGATAATGTAGAGAAAGGGATCTAATAAACTAGAAAAACAACAGACTTTTTTTACAAATCAAATGCTAAAACCCTGACCTTAGTGAGGGATAGACAAAAAGATATGAAGAGTTTAATTGAGATGTGATAACACATCATTTTAACATCATTTGTTCTGTTTAGTTGATATCAGTGTGATTTGTAGGAGGAATTATTTCTGATTTAAAAATAAACTATTTGTTTATTTGCAGTTTTTTAGTTGTGTGTGTGTTCATACATTTTAAAACCTTGTGCATAAATCTCAATAGAGACCACATTTTTTATCTCAACTAAGTCCTAGGGCATGCAAGCCCCAGTGATATAGTTAGTTCAATTGCTAAACAGGGGTAAAAGAAGCGGATATACTATCCTCCCTTGGAAACTTATACCTGATTGGTTGTTTTGCAAATGAGTCTTATAAAAGTGTAAAGCTACACATCAGTAAATCAGATTTCTTTGTATGAACCCAATCCATAGAATTTTGACTCCTTATTCTGATACATTTGACATGACATTCTAAACCAACATTTCATCTACTGTTCAACTACTAACAGTCTTTGAAAGTGGGATTATTGTACATTAGAAGGTGTTCCTTTATTTTCTTTTTGATTGCAAGAGTTTTTGTTTGTTCCATGGTAAACTTAAAGACCAACAGCTGTGAAGAATGATGGGTGTTTTTTTTTTTTTTTTTTTTTTTTTGAGAAGAAAGATGGAATTAGATGATCTCACTCTTTGTGCGTTAAAATTTGACTATTCAATTATGCAGTCCATAAATTATTATTTATTGCTCTAATTTTTGTCGTTTGTAAGATATTTGAATAAAGTGATTGAAAATATAAGAGAATTGAATTACATAAATCAAACTAATGGAAAAGTCCTTTGAAGTATAACGTCAAGAATTAAGAGCACACAAAGCAAGAAAGGGGAAAAGAAAGAAAGATACTTGACATTAGTAACAATCAGAAAATCCACATAAAAATAGTGCAGTGTAACTATTGATTTACTCTTGTGTGAGTATAAGCTATTGATTTCTAACTATTTTATAGTTTCATGAATTTTTGTTAATTTTATCTTTTCTTATGCTTGACTTGTATTTTGGATGGTAATTTAAATGGATGGAAAGAGTAAAAATGTCAATAATCAAAAGATTGGTTGAAGCATAGAAGTTAGTGTTTATTCAAATTTAGTTGGAAAGCAAGAAATCATAAGTTGTAGATATCTAAATTTGAGAAAGAAGTATGGTTAAATATTTGTACCGATTTGTATGAAAAATTGGAGAAGATTACGGCTTTTAAAAGGTGAGGGTAAGTTTAATTTAGTTTTCTTTCTTGTGTTTGGTATAAGATTTGAAAAATTGAAAGGAAAAAAGTGTCAAATGTTTAATAGTGAAAAAAACTTTTATTCGAGTTGGAAAAATGTTGGTCTTTTATTTCCTCCCAATTATGGAATAAGTGAATTTTGTTAGCACAGAAATTTTCAAACCTACCCATTTCCTTTTCATCTCCAACTTCATGCTAGACAAGGAAAATAGTTATTCTTTGTTCTTTCCCTTCTACCAAACATAATATTAGAACTTTTGGGTGGAATCTACATTGGGACTTACATCTAACGTGAACAATATGTTTGGTAGTAGAGAAGAGAAATTGAAGGAATGGAAAAGTTAGGCAATAAAAGGGAAAGGGAAATTTAGCTTTCCCTCATGTTTTATACAAGTAATAACGGAAAAAATGTGGAAGAAGATATTGAGAATAAAATGACAAACAAAATGATTAATTGAAGCTAAATGGGGGTTTTCCTTTCACTTTGTTTCCCATCATAAAAGAATTGAATTTTGTACCCGTGGGCAGTATAAATCCACTCATTTTTCTTCATTCCTCCTATTTGCTTCGTACCAAACAAGGGAACTTCACTTTTTCTTCCACTATTTCCTTCTAGCCATTGCTGTTTTACAAGACTGATTGTGAATTGTGTTTGCACTTTGAAGAGATGGTCAGCTTTTTAGGCAATATAATCAAGATTACTTATGGTTCATAGAAGAATTGAATTTTGTACCAATGGGCAGTATAAATCCACTCATTTTTCTTCATTCCTCCTATTTGCTTCGTACCAAACAAGGGAACTTAGCTTTATCTTCCACAATTTCCTTCTTGCCATTGCTGTTTTACGAAACTGATTGTGAATTGTGTTTGCATGTTGAAGAGATGGTCAGCTTTTTAGGCAATATAATCAAGATTACTTATGGTTCATTAAAGAGAGCTGACTTTGAAACTGTGAACAACTAAGGTGCATTATGGTGATAGTGCTATGATGTCATTTTGATTTAGTATGTAAAACATTATATTTGAACATATTTTTTAACTTGACTTCATTAAATGAAGGGACTCGTTTACAAAAGACAATCACCAAATTTATGTCCGAAAGTGAATTAGAAAATTTTCATACGTTAGCTTGAATTACTCAGTTCTTTTACATATTTTATTTCTGTTTCTGTTGAATCTCACATATTTTTGAGGAATGTTGCACACCAAATTTTTATTCAAAAGTGAATGAGAACATTTTCATACATCACCTTCAATTATTCAATTCTTTTACACTTTTGACTTCTGTTTCTTTGGAATCTCATATATTTATAAGGAATGTTGCCATGTATCTGTTTTACATCTTTGAAAGTTGACACCCAATGTGATCTAATAATTCAAGCTTAGGATCTCAATCCCATTGGCTAGACAACTCTTTGTGATGTAACTAATTCATAATAAGGTGCAAGTGTAGAATAGACAACCTGACTACATTCTTTCTGGCTTTGAGCTGAGAAATAGCAAGAAGCAGCTATACTCATGTAGTCTATTACTCCTAGGTATGGAGAGAGAGTATTGAGACTTTAGCATGGTTCAACTCTTTTTGAAGAAAACTTATGGGAAAATCCCTAAAGAAATTCTTTGAAGGTGTTTTAAGGGAGAAAATAGTTTTTATTTATTATATCTAGGCTGTAAAGGACATTTACAATGGAATTGCTACTTGTGCCTGGCTCATGGAGAGATGATAGAGCATTTTCCAATAGTTTCCAAAGTCATCTTTGTGCTCTTTACCTTTTAACCTAGTAATGGATGAACTTGGTAGGCATATGTAGGATATTGTACCTTGGTATATGCTATTTTCCTTGTTGATGACATACTATAGGTTAATGAGAACAAAAGGGAGATTAATGCCAAATTTGGGTTAAATAGAGAAGCTTTGAGTCCTTTTAAGCATTCTACTTTTGTTTTGTTTTTGTTTTTGGTTAAAACAGAGTTTGGAATGTAAATATAGTAAAAACCAAGATAGGAATAGACAGTTAGTAAGAGTTGATGACCAGACATGTTGTTAGGAATTTCAGTATCTTGGTGCAGTTATTCAAAAGTCTGTAGAAACTGATCCAACTGTCTCCCTAAGGATCCAAGTGTTAAAAATACAGTCTAAATATCCCAAGGTTTAATTTGATAGGAAGCCACCCAAGTTTTAATTTATCTAATATGTCCCTGAGATGCATGCCAATTAAAAGATTAATGCGTTTTGCACGTAGACTCCAATGGAGAAGAGTTTTGCAAAGTTGATTACAGATTACAAGGAAGTTGAACATAAGGCCTAAATAGCCAAGACATGGGTTAAGGATAAAAAGAGTGGAGGTTCAAAAGAACAATAGACCTTTACTCTGACACCATCTCGTATAGATAGTTGGTCTGCAAAATTATCTCAAATGTTTAAACTTATTCAAAAAGATCAAACTTTTTATGCATAAGTTTTGGCTTCACGCAGGATAGATGGAAATGGAGACAAATGCTTTTGGAGTCTTTTGGATCATGAAATTCCACTAAAAGATTGGAATTATTTAGTGTTGTTATGGCCTGCACCTAGGCACTATGGCGTAGTGTAATTCAACTACCTTGCAATCGTTCACGCATGTGCCCTCTGTGCCTAGGCATGCATCTTTTAAGGTGAAAGGCGCTGAAAAAGAATGCCTGACTCAAGTGTCCTGTTGGTTTCTGTATACAATTTTTTTGTCAGCTATTCTTCTAATAAAAAAAAGGGGGCAATTTCAGCTTTCTTTACAAGAATGAAAAATTAAATACTATAGTCAATGAACTTTTGGTTGAAGATGGAACTGAAGCAAACTTGAACCCATATTTAATGATATTAATGATAACTATTCTTGCTCTCTGAACACATTGGACAATTTAGTGGAGTATACCACTTTTTTGCACCTTGTGCCTCTGGCAATGTAAAGGTCCTTGCGTTAGAGCGCCTTGTGCCTTTGACAACATTGGTGTTTTATCAACTATTGATAAAACCAATTATGTCACGTGTAGTTGAATGTTTGGCATCTAGGTATCAACATAACAGTAAAAATGAGAGAGTAGCTTAGATGAAAATGTTATGTTATATGCAAACAAAAAAAGAAAAGATAAAATTGGTAATGCTGCATAAGGAGGTTCTTACCATAGATACTTGATTTTGGTTACTAATATTTTATTCTTTTAAAGTTGCTAAAGTTGAAGTTAAGTCAAAACAGGTAACAAGGTTGTTTCATTGAAGGTTGTTTCACGGAACAGCTCCTTCATGGAATACCACGAAACAACTTCAAGGAACTACACCAACATCTTTACTGAAAGCTCTTTCACCGAAATTTGCTTCACTGAAAAATATTCTACAATAGATGCTTCACTGAATGTTATCTCACCCATAATAAGAAGCGAAAATAACCCCAGAATATGGCATGGTTCTTGGGTTAATTTTACTATTAGGATGTTTCGAAGAGCTTGGCCTGGTGGATAAGATATAGAGATAGTTAAGAGGTTTCCTCTTAACCTTTCTTTGAAGTATGAGTGTTTTTTCTTTTCTTTCATAACAGATAGTGGATTCTTATGTTCACTATTAACTATCATCAAAGGTTAAACTCTTATTACACAAAGCATTAATACCTTTTGTAGCTGTCAGTTTTACTATTATTTCTATTCAATGCTCAAGATATGTAACTCTCATTCTTAGAACCTATAAATAACTGTTCCCTCCTCCTAAATCATTTTCACAGCCTCTTTTTCTTAGCCTTATTATCCTTTTTACTCAACCTTGCTTCACTGTCTAACACCACCTGTCACTACACTCAATCCTTCAAGGTTGCTCCAGCCTTCCTCTTTGCTGTCTCCCTCGGCACATCTGTTTTACTTGATTTCAACACTTCCTCACCTCACTAAAGAATCCATTTAAACTTACCAATTAAGAGATATGAGTGAAATAATGTATTTAAGGTGTTTTGTACACGCAAAAAAGAAATATGTAATTTTTAAGAAAATACAAATTAAGGAAGGATACCTAGGGAAACCAAAGAAAGTATGTTTGGAAACTTTGGAAGGACTTCATTTCTATTGAGTCATTGAGGATGTGCTCCCAAATTGAGTACAATGGTGCAACATGATCCATATGGCCAGCAACATGTAGTTGGAAAGTCTTAGTTTGTTGGTTTCATTATGTAATTGTTTTTATGCTAGTGACATGAAAATGTTTTTTAAACATGGGCCATTGACTACACTTGTATGCTTGCAATGTATAATCACAGTGCGTTTCATTTATTGTGATTTTCTTTTTTCTCTTCTCCTAAAAGTTTTCCTTTGTATAGTTAGGCTTTAGCATTTAGTACACTCCCAGAAGCATCCACACACATATTGGAGAGATCAGAACATCTTTGATTTGGACTTCGACCTTGGGATGTAAGGTTTAAATAAGCTTGCATAAATGCATGAATACATTTTTTTGGGGTCTATTTTCAATATTTCTTTTGTAATACAGTATGCTACCATCTTTGTAATTTGTAGGGTTTCTAGCTAATCAATTAGAATTCCTTCCTTCCCAACCCTTTTTTAAGCTCTCTCTAGATATTGCCCTTTGTTTCTCTCTCCATTTGATAGGCAACCAAGGTTGGAAGACAAGCAGGCTCCCGCTCGCATTCATTCTCTGTTTGTCTTGTCTAAGCTTGATGTTAATCAGTAGCTAGGACCTGAGCCCTCTAACCTCTCTGCTCTCCCTTTTAACTTTTATTTTTTATCTGCTTGTCTGTGTGGTTGCTTGCACTTTTTCCAGTATGGAACTAGGATAGAGTCTAACTGGAAGCTTGTTGTGGTTATGTTGTCAAAATATGTCCCAAAAGGTAACATTTCTTAGTCCCATGGAAGAAAATGTGTGAGAGCTTGTTAATGAGGTCTTAAAGAGGAAAATCTTTTGGAGTTTTAAACCATTTGCAAGCTACAGTTGCATTGACTCTGTTTTATATCAGTTTTTTAATTGATTCTTGTTAGACTTCAAATAAGAGGCTTTTGATAATGAGTACTTCAGGTAAGCGCTATCATACTTTTCCCCTTCTGCCTACATTTTTAGTTTATCCAATATAATAGTTGTGAGAAAAATGAGCAATGTTTGGTTTTGATGGAATTCATGATTGAATAATTTTAAAAAAAAGTTGTCAATGGTTAGTTGGGGATGTAAACAGGAAATTGCTTTCGGAAGATTTTCTGCATAAATTATTTGGAGTGGAGTTACTCAGATTTATTTGCAATTGCAGAGAATTTACCTGGATTATGGAGTATTTCGGATTATGTTATTCTCTGTTTGGAATTTAATCCCAGTAGTCGTTTTCATGACACACTAATTAATTTGCTTCATAAAACTACATTATTGGAGTAAATCTGCTATCAGCTTGAATTCTGCTTAGCTATTGCTGACTTTTCTTTTTATTTGTGTTTCATTTCAACATGTTACATTGTTTATGTTCCAAAATTTTTGTGTTAATGCCATCCATTCCATTTTACTTTAGGAGCCAGTGGCCTTCATGGGTGGAATGTTTGCCGGGATTTTAAGGCTTGATTTGAATGAAGATCCATTAAAGGAATGGGTTGCTAGAACTGTGGAAGCCTCTGATATCACCGAGGAAGATATTTCTGAAAAAGGATTCAAAGAGGAGGAAGATACCCCTCTACAAATTGAGATAGAATGATGGCTACCTTGGTTCCTGCCACAGAGCAAACCGGACTCATACGATAAAATCTAGTAGGTGTAGCTTCTTTAACGACAGTGACTGTGATCTTTCTTGTTTCAGTTTTAATCTCTAGTAATATCCATAATAGTATTAGTAATGTATTTGACAATGTTTGTATCAAACTCGGGGTGACACGAATTGAGTTGGTGAAATTAATCACCCCAAACTCAAATAATAAAATAAAAAAATATTATTTTTAAAATTTGTTTAATCTATCTTTAATTCTCCGACTCCTTATATTTATCTGAAAAAAAAAAATTATGCACATGACTTCGTCTGAACCTTTCAAGCGTAAGCAAAAACTTAAATGTGAACTCAACCAAACATCAATCAACAGTAAAAAAAATGTATTATTATTTATTAAAAGTATATAACTCTTACATTTTTTAATGTATTAGATTCAAATAATTTTAGAATTCATTGTCGTGTTTACATTTTTTTTTTAATTCTAAAAATTTATACGTGTGTAATTTATTTATTCACACTTTCATGTTTAAATGATTGCATCAGTTTTATTTTCTGTTTTTCTTTTAACTCTTACATAAAAAAAAAATTAAAGTCACTATTATTTTATATACATATTAGATGTGTTATAATAATTCTATAAAAATAGAATTATTATGATACTTATTTGATTAATTATGATATTTACTCGATTTTTAACAATTTAACTCAATTTTCACCTGATCTTATTTAAATACCTCATGTTTAGGTTAATTAAGGGATCAAGGAACAAGGTGAAGGACAAAATAGGCCACGGTGTCAAGCTCTCCAACCATGAAAAAACCACCCAGCGCTAACTTGGATAGAAGGAGCTCCTGCCGCACCAAGTTACTGACTTGGACAGAAGGAGCTGCTACCACACTAATGTGCTGAATTGGACAAAAGCTAGTAGGACTAAATTGCACGAGGAATGAATGATATAATGTACGAGGACAAAACAAGACAGGCGCACAAGATGACATAGAAGACAGCTGTTGTATCCGCTCCTATTCTTTTCATTTTGGCACACAAAGGGGTGGCTGATGTGACATTTTGTCGCATGAAGAGTGGCCGAACTTACCTTTGAATCTACTTTAAATTCATCACATTTTCTGCATGAATGGAGAGACAAGTCAACTAGCACAAAAGGATAAGCACCAGTTGGTTGTTGCTGCCCGCCACGAATTCGACCACCTAGACTTTCCAAATGAGCTCTTAAATGAGCTGCTGAAGTGGCTAAATTATGCAAGATTAATTGAGTGTGTAAATGCACAGATCGTTCAAGTAATATAATGATAAAATAGAGTTATAGTCCCACAGTTATTGGCTATTAAATCACTTAATCTAAGTACTATTATTAAATTACTCTTACTATAATTAACTCAATAGAACTCTCAAGAAGCTTTTAAACTACTCCTAGACTAAAGCATAAGAGGAAGAACATGTATTAAAAATCATAATAACTATCAAGCAAGAGAAAACAAGGAAGTATATTGCACAAAATGTAAAGGCAGCAAGGTAATGTAATCTATACTAATGGAACATGAATTTAACAACAATACAAAATAATGAAAGCATGTAAAATAGCCCAAGACATTCGGCTAAACCAAAAGAAAACAAAAACTGAACAACAAAAGTAATAACAATTCAAACCGTAAAAACAAAGCATGAATCAAAACCAAACAGCAAATGAACTTCAGTCTAAACTCAAGAACGAGTAGAGTAATGCATGAAATAGAAAAAAACAGAAATTAAAGTACAAGAGAAATGACTAAAACAGAAAATGTAATGTAATAACGATACTACCTCATAATACAAGTAAACCATAAATGCAACAATGAATGTAAATGAATCTAAACCTAATGCAAGGTATTTAAATGCATATGAACTTAAAAATAGTAATTCAAACTAGATCTAAGTGCATGAAATTGAAATTCCATGAACTGAAAGCAAGGAAATGTAAGAAAGCAAGAACCGAAACCTAGATCTAAGCAGAATAAGTAAATTTTCAGAATCTTAAAAGCTAGATCTGCAACTCTATAAAGCAAATGAACTTAAACCGAACTAAAGCAATTTAGATCATCAAGTGAACTTTAATTGCAATTAAAAGAAATCAGCTCAAACAAAGAAGTAACAAGCTCAATGAAATAGCAACAAAATTAAGTGCAAAATCAGAGAAAACAGAACCTAAAGGAAAGTAATCAGCCAAACAGCCAGCAAAAGCATCAATTAAATTACAACTAAAGAACATTAAGTAAACAAGTAAAAGAACAAGTGCAAATCAAGGAAAAAGTAGACCGATCGCCTAGCAAGGAGGAAACCGCCAACAACTCTGTCACCGCTGCTACTGCCACCTTTGGCCAGCTACTAGAGCTGAAACTTCCATGATTTTTAGAAAAAAGTCCAGAAGGAATTTTGAAATGAAAATTTCCTGATCTAAAGAGATATGAATTGAGAATGTGCAAAAAAAATTTTGGATCAAAAATCAGAAGAAATCATTGAGAAAAGCTGGGAAAACCTAAAAGTAGTGCAGAGGAAAATAGAGCCAAACATGATTGTAAAAGTAAAGAGAATGCAATTGAAAGTGCAAGAAATCTTAAAGAAAATTAAAGTGCATTGCAAGTAATTAAAATTACATGAAATTTAAGTGCAAGAAAAGTAAATTTTGCTAGAAAATTAAAGAATTTTCTCTCCAAACAGCTCTCTAAATGAACAAAGAAGGAAACTATCTAGAGAAAATGTGCAAGAAATGTTAGTTGCAAGAAATGAAAATGCTAACTAAATAACAAACTTCCCTCTCTTTGTCACTCATTACTCCTATTTATAGATAGAGAGTGATATGTTCTAGCCAATCACATTATAAGAAAAAGCCACTTAGGATGCCACATAAGCTAGATATTTTCATGTCATCTAAGCTTGCTTCATAAGCTTCCTATTTGCACTCTTTCTCTTCTCTTCTCTTCAAGCTTCCGTTTTTTGTTCCTTATATCTCCAAAAAGTCAGAATTATGATCAATTAGGAACCTCCAAAGTACCAACTAAGCAGCTGTCCATTGGCCTTCCCTTTAGATTCAAATTAGGTGCCAACTCCTTCTGTGCACACCATGATGCATCACATGGCTAGAAGGCATTCTTCCTCTAATTTTGGGTGCTAATTTTTTCTAATTCTCTTCTTCAATTTCCAGCCAATAGGAAGCCATCTAATTGCCAACTCAGCCATGAAAATTCCAAAAAATTCTAGCTCCACAATTGCTCCAAAACCGCTACTACGCTTCTTTTCCTCCTTAAGCTCATGCAATTTTACTACAAAGGTGGTAAACACTTTAATGAGTTAAAAAGGAAAAATAAGCATGGAAAATATAAGGATTAAGACCTAAATTGAAGTTAAACTAAGCTCATATATGCGAAGAAAGCAATGAAGAAGAGTTAGGAAATTCTCCCCAATAGTGGCAAGCCAATAGTAAGCAAGATTCCACCAAATTGTATCCAATTTAAACTCAATTCCTTAATTTTCCTCATTTCTCATGTTTTTACCTACAAATTGAACAATTGCACAATTAGGAGTATTTTTGTCATAATTTGTCAAGGAACAAGCAATAATTCATCACAAAAAGTCCTAAACGCTATGATAATTCTATAAAAATACAGAATTATCAAAGATCATTGACCAATTAAAGACCTAGAATTCCTTGTTAAAGATACATTTGCTACATTTGAGAGGAAGCCCAACCACCAATGCCATTTTCCTTTCTTTTTCCCTTGTGATGCCATGGAGACTGGCAGCTTCATAGTTGCCTTGTTTTCATGGTTGTTTCTTATCTTTTCTATGCTATTTTCCTTTAGTTTTTATTAGGTTTTTCATTCCTTTATTCTCCTACCTTGTAGCTACATTTACATACAAATTTGAGATGCTTAAATATTTTGTTTATCAATAAAAATGAGTCCTTTTCTTTTTGATTTCAATCTTTTATTGAGCTACTATTTTTGCTTTTTCATTTTCCCTTTCATGGCTGCTTGGGTAAGATGAGGATAATGGATTGTTGCTATTAGGATGAGAAATCACCTAGGAGACTTTATACTACTTGAATATATCATTTACTATTTTTGTTTGATTTATTGCTGTCTTCATTTTTTTTTTTTGGTTTTGCTTATTTTAAATTTCATGTTTTTTTTTTTTAATTTTTATGCACTTTAAATACTATGCAATTTAAATTCTAGCACTTTAATTTTTTGTTCTTTAAATTTATGAAACTTTATTTTTCTTGTTCTTTAATTTTATGGAACTTTAAATTCAGGCAATTTATTATTCTATGCAACTTTAAATTCATGCAATTTACTTTCTTGTTCTTTATTTTTCTAGCACTTTAAATTTTCCTTGCACTTTAATTTTCATAACTCTTTAATCTCCTTACACTTTACTTTTCATACAATTTAATTTTCCATGCTATTTACTTTCTCACACTTACTTTTATGCCATTTAAATTTTCATGTTGATTTGCTTTAATTTCTTGCACTTTAGTTTTAATCTTTTAATTTTTAGCAGATTTAAATATATTTAGGGTGCCTACCGTAATCCTTGAGAGTCGATATTTAGGATTACTTACTCTGTACTACTTGCAGTATACTTTGGTAGCCCATAACAAGTTTTTGGTGTCGTTGGGGATTGTAAGTGTAACCTAATGTTAATATTAATACCAAGTATGCCTAGGTGTAGTTCAGATAATTTCTTTTCCTTGTTTTTGTAAATATCACTTTTGCTTTTAGTATTTATCTTTTAATTTCTTTTTAATGAATTAGAATAACATGAACAATCCATATGAGCCTAAGACTTTTAGTGATTATGTTGTGTTTCTTATGGATGGAATTTGGACTATTATGGCCAATCCTTTAGGGCATACTTAGAGATTTTACTATCCCATTTTTAGATGAATTCCAAAATCAATGGTCATCCAAAAGTCTAATGCTTAAAGTGCTGTTGGTGAGTATGAATTAGATCCCATTACAGCCTTAACTTCACAGATAGCCACTTTAGCTAATAAGATAGATTTCATTGGAGTTTATTATGATCCTAATCCTGTCCATTCATTTAAAAGTTTATTTCCAACTTATGATGTATGCGATGAAAATCACTTTAGTGATAGATATAGCAATGAAATAGTCCAATTTGTTGACTACCTAGATAGCCAGCAATCTAATTTTAGT